AAAAACAATTTTCTGAGTGGTATACTGTCATTTCTAGTCAAATGAAAACCATTCCTAAGCAAAAACCCGCATGTCCGCCTGCTTATGTGAAAGCTCCTCACTGTGTGTGGATGTGGGTGTGGGTGTGAGAGTGGCGTGGGTGAGATGTGCGTGTGAATTCTCTTAACTTACACACGCCCCATCCATACCATATCCACACCCACATCTTCACCCACAGCTACAGCCACACCCACCACACACCTACACCCACCTACACCCAATCACACCCACACCCTATTCAGATAGATTTTGCTCAGGATTCTCTCATAGTATTGTAAAGAAGGAGTGGAAATCTACGATCGAATATCCGTGTTTCTATGCACTAAAAAAAAGCTTCAGGCGAGAAGGCGTTATTTTTCTATCGACCATGACAGCATTTCAGTCTTAATCTATTAAGTTCGAAAACAAGTTGTTTCTCATTCACAATAAAATAGGAAATATCGACAGAAAAATAAAATAATGGGTTATATTCCTAACAACAGAACCACAAATGACACCAATATTTGCAGTAAGACGCTGACTTGTGAACATTCGACAAACATCTAGCTCTCACTTCATTTTCTACAGCACCTCTATCCATTCCATATGTTGATGGTATTAATTGACAAAAAGCCTCACGACCTGCAGCATCGTCGTCACAGGCCTTTTTGCAGTCAGTTGATGTCAAGGTTCCATTAGTCAGCCCAATGAGCACTGTAAGAAAAACGATCGCCCATACCAAACGATTCAGTGTTGAAACCATGATTGTTTTCAATAGTTTTTCTGTAGAAATCAAGAATAATTACTTGAGGGCTTCTTTTGGAAGGCATATTTAAACGCTTACCTCTAAAGACTCTCTATAAAAAGATTAATTTTTCATTTTTTTTCGATGACTTCAAAAAAACATAAGACAGAGGTATCGTGTGATTAGCTAGAGAGAGGCTTGCATTAGAAAACGATGCTTCTAAAAAAATATTGATACGAATTTCAATACTTAGAGTATAAATGTGAGCTGTGGATATATGTTACGACGAAACGCAATCACTCACAATCACACCTATGCATGCTATGATAGTTTATAATCTTTCTAAAATATTAGATTAAAAAATATTTTTTGTTAGTCATACTATCTTTTTACTACAAAAAAATCTGTATTAAACCTTGATATGACTATCGTGCGCACCTTTTATGATGGTATCATCAATAACAAAAGCTTTTTCTACATTAAACTACTCTAAGTTGTTCGGAAATCTGCCAGTATGAAAGAATACTGTATTGCGTTGTAGAACTGTTTCCTATTCCAGATTGTATGGCTTCAACTTATATTTTTGAAAGAAGATAAAAATTTTTGCTAATATCTGATTGCTTTTATCCAATATGTTATTTACGATTAAAATGCAGAAAAGACGGTATTGAAATCTTTTCATATTTGTACATTGAGCAATGTGAAGTCATAGACTAGCTTATTTAATATTTTATTAAAAAAATAAATAATTAGTTGTCTCTGAGCTACAACAATTGCTTTCTGTTCTTTCAACCATATAAAACATACATTTATTGAAGAAAAATTATCTTGTCGCGGACATATAAGAATATTTGAAGTAAATCATACGAAGATACTTCATTTAAGCTGGCGACAAGCACTTCATGAGCGAAGATATTGCAATATGTTAACAGTCTAATATAACAAAAAAATGAAGATTGTTTGGCTTCAAAAGAGGCTATCAAGAACTAGAAATTCTATTCTTTAAATTTTTTGTTCCAATCAATATGTTCAAATCTATAAAAAAATTGGTTGTAAGCTACATTTAAAATTTTTCTGAATTATTTCAGATTGTGTTAAATAATGTTTTAAATAAGGTATCCACTGAAAGATGAACATAGATTTAACACATTTGAGGCGATTCGATTTTGTTAAAAAGTAGCTTTAACAGACCTGTTTTCATGTACATTGACCTTCTGATAAATGTACTCATTGGCCTTCTTTGTATGCACTGCCAGTTGTTTTTCTTTTTCTTGCTTCTATCATTCTCTAGGCCATCGTCTTTTACGTCGAATTGAATAATGAATCAAGATTATTTTTCTGTCTTCTATATATTGTGCAATAGGAATAGTATAACCATACGAAATTTAGATTTATTGAAACCTAGATTTTATTCGATTAACATTTCTCACTCAATAATTACTATCGGCGAAACAATGAGAGACCATGACGAGATCGATTTCACTTCAAACAAAACATTCCTGGTGAATCGCACAAATATATCATCAAAGATATGCAAGATACCGGCTACGAATGACTACACTTAGGATTATATAGATTATAACGGAAAGCAGCATTCAACATGTAAGTAAAGCTAGCAGCAGATTTGAGTTTTTTGGGGAAATATTCGCCAACATACTTGTGCTACATAGGGCATCGAATATGTTGTGGAATGCATCGCTCTCAAAGAATTTCCATTGTCAGCAATGACTGAAACATTCGTTTTCAGACGTGTGCCAGTTGAGAAAATACCTGTGCCAAATAGAAGTTTGCAAGACCTATCGAATGATACTAAATTGACCCATATTCATCACATGAGTCTGTTTCTACACTGAAAAAAAAACATTGGTAACATATAGGGGTGTGGGTGTTGTGTGGATGTGTGGGTGTGGGTGTGTGGGTGGGATGTGGGTGGGGAGGCTGTAGGTGTGGGGCTCTAGTGCGGATAGGGATATGAGTAAGAATTGAAAACAAAGAACTACACCCACACCCACACCCCACACCCACACACCCACACACCCCACACCCCATACCCACACGCACACCCGACACACCACCCCCCATACCCACACACCCCACACCCTACACCCATAGCGACCCATTTTCGTTCGATCATTTTTCGCCTTTCCAGAATGAACTATGTATAATAATATAGAACGAAAAAAATGAAGAAATATTCGTTTGTATCTAACAGTTTCTGTAGTGACGATCATATTCGATATATATTATCAATCTTTATTTGGCGGTCGATTAGTATAAAGAAATAAGAAAAGTCGTCCGTCATTGAATATAAATAAGAGAAGATATCGACAAAAAATGCAGAAACAATTGTTTACATCAATATATGGCGTTGATCACATGTTTCGACGATCTACCCGATTTAGTATTGATCGAAGTGTTTGCGTATCTGTCATCTTACGACATTCTTTGGGGATTGACTCATTTTAATCATCGTCTAACAATGTTAACAACTGAACGAGGTTTCTTTTCTCGTATTAATTTATCTCTTGCACGTTAGCATCAATTTAATAGAATTCTTCATTTTCTTCCATTGAATGATATTCAATCACTCTCACTTGATAGTGATGCATCTCCATTTCAATTAACTCGTTGGCCTTATTTACCTCGTTTAAAAACTCTGCGTATCATTGGTGTATACAATCATGATGATCTTTTAGTTTTTGTTATACTCCATGTAGCAACACTCACTCATCTCATCATAAAATCAAACAAAAGAATGGTACCGGTAATTATTACCCATTTGTTTCTAATACATGTAAAACTGTACAGAAGGAGGTCCTAATTCACTTCGAACCCAGCACTCCTTTGTTGGTATGCTTAACACATCGCACAACACTGCGTGAGGATGAGAGCTGTGCGGCAAATGAAAAAATTTCTAATACAATGGAACCATTTAAGTAACAATTAAAAAGATAATATTGTTGTGACGTTAAATTCCTTTACAATATTGCTAAAAGAAGACCAATTTGTATGCCTAGACCGGTAAAGATAAATTATTTTCATTATTTGAAAATTTTAGACTAATCAAAATTTGAGTCAAATAAAATTGTGATAGAGGTAGTAAGGAAAGACAGATTCATTATTTTAGATTGAATTTCATTCGATACAGATTGTTGAAATCAATAAAAAACATCCAGTTAAATTCATTTGAAAATTTATCAGATTCAAATATGAACTTGATTAAAAAACAATTTTAAAACTATGATTTATGTAACTAAATTATTAAAGTTTATTATTACATTAATATGTTAAAATATAAAATAGTTTTTTTATTCGGTATGAGATCTTTTTGAAACAATCATATGAAATTATTTGACTTTTGATAGAGAAAAAGAAAATAGAACTAATCTGTTTATCAAAAATGATATCATATTCTAAAATACAGCTGTAGAATTTGACGTACAATCATATAACAAAGTTGAATTATTAAAAACGAACAAAGCTTGCTCTAACTTTCTAACAATTTGATTGTGAAACTATCTCTAATAGTTCTAAATATATTTGAAAAGTATCTTGTTTGAATAATTATTGCGATCACATTTTTAAGGATAACAGTGATGAAAATCATCGTGAGATAAAATATAAAAGAGAATAGATTTCGTTTAGCGATAGTGTAGAATAGAATGAGAATTGTTTCAATAGTCTAAAGATTTTCATCAATTACAAATGGTATAGAGAAAAATTTCTATCAATCAGGAAACTTTCCAAAGATCTGACATTAATTACTAGTAAAAAAATTATTGGAACAGAATCTTCACTTTGTTGATCTCTTTTTCAATCAAAGTACTGTTACTCTCAATCTGACACTCAGAAGACTACTTAGGATTATTTTTCACTAATAATTCGTTGATATTTATATACTGTTTTTTAGGATGATTTTTCAATTACATTTGACTATCCACTAGGCGACATGGTGATGTTAATAAATAATATTCTTCTTATTTATTTACCTGCACTTCGATCTCTTGACTTGGGCATGAATTATTACGGAACACGTTGGCCCATTACTACTGCGGTCGCTTCTCTCACTTATCTGCGTCTTTTTTTATCGCATATGAATAATTTGTTGCGTCTTATATCGACAGAACCACTCTCCAATACATTACGCCAATTACACATAACAATAGGTGATAGTTATTCCAACGCTCATTGTCCTGTGTCAATGTATAATCTATCGATTCGAATGATTAATTTACATACATTTTCACTAGTTCAAACATTTTTCTCAATGTTAACAATTGAACGGACAGATTTTGATATACTGACATCTTCGAATGTTATGCCTGTTCTTCGACGTGCTAATGTATCTCTGTTTATTAATATTAATGACATAAATAGTATTAGTTCATCAGAAATCTTTACTGATCATCGTCGTGTTGATGTTCATTTCGCATTTAATCTTCTTAATTGTCCTCAATATATCAAAATAATACCGTATATGCTACGTGGAAATCGTTTTCATTCACGAGAAATTGTTGGTGCAACATTCCTTGTTAATCACTGATCTCCCAGATCAGAATAGCTCATTGATAGTGATCCTTTTGTAAATTATTGTTTGATTATATTTTTGATCGTCTTTTATTTCAAAATGTAATATGAAGGCAACGAAAATCATTGTTCTTTACTTAATAATTTAGTTTTTATCTAACAATATGTCAATGTGTTTCATACATTTATAGAGTCGTGGACGTCATTATTACCATCATATGTGGTATACTCTTCCATGGACATTTGATGAATTCTTCCACGAATGTATTCCATATAGATGGATTACCAAAGTACAAGTGTTTGAAATACCTTCTCACAATGCTATGGCAATGTATCAATCATCTCTTCGTACATCAGATGCAGCAGGTCAAACTTTGCCAACACCTATATCCTTTTTACCTCATGTGGTATTATCCAATTATATTGAAACACTGCACTTGTCCTATTCTAATAGACCTATTCGTATACACTTATCCGCTCTTCGCCATATAACTCTTCTAAATAGTGCCAATTGTCTCAACTATTTGTCTTCATTTCCAACAACCATCCGTTCTATTCACATTCTTCTTTGTCATACTTTTTCGAACTGTATGTTACCAAATTGGCCAGTAATTTTACATTTTCTGTCAACTTTGCCAGAACTGAGTTCGTTACGAGTGTCTATGTATGACTTATCAAAAACTATTGATGACAAAAATTGTCAAATAATTGCAAAGGCAACATCATTTTTGAGAGATTTTGATTTTTACTTTCGACGAAAATTCAGTTCATTAGATGATGATATGAAAACTACATTTGACGATCATACAAAATTTATTAAACAGTTATGTGATCAAATACTCCAATTATGTCTTAATAAACAACTTTATTATTCAATCGAAGATGATGGTTGTGGACTCACAATATGGTTCTAATTGATATATAAATCTAACAGCAATCGGTTTTAGTTATTGTCAAATGATTAGAGAATCTTATTGGCACAAACACTCGTTTATCGTTATACATTTTTTCAAATATTAATATAAGATTGACTGTTATAAGTGATGTCATCAAGAAGAAAAAGAATTTTTACTGAAATAGTGAATAATTAAGACGAGACATAATTTTCAAATTGTACTATGTCTCTTACTGTAATGTAGTGACCTCGTCATATAGAAGTTTTCTCTATCCTATTACATAAAAGAACTCGATATTGTTACTCTCTTTTCATTTGTTATATTCCTTCCTTTCTTTCCTTGGTAAATCTCAACTTCTTTAAATGTAAATATAATAAGTAAATAATGCAGTAGAATGCATTTTATACTAATTAATATCTGAAATTTTCGACCTTTATGAGTACGGTAAAGATGTTCAATCACTGCTGCTGTGGCAGTGACGACGCCTTAGCGGTCGTTTTTCTAAACAGTCATCGCGGCAGCGGCGCAGTAGCGATGGGTGTTTTGAAGGAGAATGCAAAAATGCATGAGTCTGAACAGGAATTCAA